TGTGACTTTAGTGTGAGGAGTTAACATGACTGAATTGAAGGTGCCGGAGGCATACTATACGGCCATAAAACCGGTGATGCGGTTGAATAATCACAACTGTTTTAATAGGACATCGCAACCTGTATGCTAACATTTGAATGTAGATGGTCCTACTTAGAATAATCACAACGTACAACAACAACAATGATAATTAATAATTCTCTCATTATCACGGTCAACACTGTAATACAAATATTTACATTGTATTACACTTCATGATATTTAAATTGTATTGACAAATACGTCGTACATGGACCAATGAAATGATTTTGTCGGTCTAGTAGGGAAATAACATGATATAATTTTTTCACCACGCTATATAATACTGCAAGAAGAATAAACAAACAAACCTTTATTCAGCTTCCGTGTTTTAAAAGTAACATAAGTAGCTCAAGCTAATCTATATAACTAATTATTAATTAATAACGTGAACATTTTTTAATTTTCATTGCCAGTTTTTACTTTAGCAAAATATTTAAATTACAACATGCCACGGGGTTATTAATCATTTGTTCGTTAGAATGTCCAAAAGATTTGATTTGATCGGAAGTGGATTGCACATCAAAGCAAACCATGAGTTCGAGATGCCAATCTATAGTGTCTTATCTCAAACACCGGTGTATTACGTTGCCTCGTCACGAGAGACGAAATACGTTAACATTCCCACGGGACACGTGCTACTTCGTTTATAGAACTTGCACGTATGATGTCTTATGCTTTAAAGTGTTGACATACAGTGGTGCTAGGTTGCGTCGTTTTAAAAACCATGTGGTTGGTATGACGATATCTCGATGTTCGTTTCCATGGTGATGGAACTTGCCAACTCCGCTAAATACCGCTGCGCGAACAGGCGTTTTTTTATTAGAGGAGTACACCGATTTGTTTACGAGATTAATAAACCAGCTAATCGTTAACATTAACAGTGGTAACAATTGTAAGCCGTGGGGGTTTCCTTAGATTTACGTTGCGTCTGTGACAACCAATAGTGCTTCATCAAATTGCCTGCCTCGGGCAATTCCGTTTACAAGGAGTACGAAGCAGTTAAATGTATGTGTGTTACGTGTTTATTCTCCGTCCCCAGTGATGAGCATACATGCTATCATTTGCGGTCGCAGTTTAATTTCATCTCAAAAACTTGCCGGTACGATTGCGCGTTAAAAAGTTGGTGTTCGGATACACGCCCATGTGAAATAATTTTTACACCAACATTGTTCCGCGCTCAAGTTTTTAAATATATACATCTTTAAGTGACATTTGAACAATGTCAATGTATCATTCCCGTTAAATGAAATGAAATCAAAGATTTAGTCAACTCAGCATTCATGCTATCTTGCGTGTTTTCCTTGAAACCAATCTTACTATCTTTGCAGTAGTTGTGTTGTTATCTATCGAGAATCGCCGACGGCCTTCTCACAGTCTGTGCGTGTCGAATCACCGGACACGTACACTTCGCACAGACTTGGTGTCACGATCACACATCATGTATGACTGTCGCGACACAGACATAACTTTAAAACACATAATAAACACGTTGAAGTCTTTATGTTTGCATACATCGTCCTGGGTAAGGTCAGGTGATTGACCATTTAATGAATCATATACGATTCATATATTTAACATATCACATAATGTTATGGACATATTCCTATTTACCAACGGCCACTTCAATTACATACATCGCTTGCATAC